AAAATTCTATTGCCATGCTCTTATGTTTTGAAAGAATGACAAACCCGTTTATTGAGACGTTTTCAACAGACGGGATAGACGTGTTTATGAGTAAGTACTTCTTGAATAACTTCGTCATATAGATGTCATTAATGGCGCCAAACCCGTTCAAAAATATCTAAACTATAAGCTGCATACAATCTTTTCTCTGATAAAAGGTCTCTTCGAGCGAATAACAAATGTAAGCCTTAGCAAGGACCATCCTGTTTTGAAACTAGTGGACGAAATCACAAAGAAATGCCCTAAAATAACAGGGACCAATATCATTTAAGGACTTTCAACAGCAGTAACAACTAAAATGGATAGTACATATAACTTGAGGAGAAAATAACGGCATAACCAATATGTTCACTTTCCACGTGACTTCGAACAAAAGGTTAGAAAGGAAACCACAATAAGGAAAGAACGATAATAGCCACTGCATTTCAGAAAGCAATTTTCTTTAAAAAAAGTTTTTTTTACGAGAAATATTTTATACATTCCCCATGAAACGGGGCACTGGCTGATCAGTCAATTTTTTCTGATGTCAACCGACACTCGTTGCCACTTTTTTGATGCCAACGAATACTGTGCCATTTTCGTAATGTCTCCTTGTAGTTGAGACTTTGTTATCGCAGATACAACTATAATGAACTGAATAGAGAAATAGTATATTAAACAGAGAAGAAAATAGAGGTCAGTATATTACAGAGTATAGAAATGCAGATCCGAAAAGTAATAGAGAATAGCATAGAAATAGTGATCGTATAGTAATAGAGGATAGAATAGAAATGGAGATCCGAATAGTAATAAAGGATAGAATAGAAATGGTGATCCGTATAGTAATAAAGGATAGAATAGAAATGACGATCCGTATAGTAATAGAAGATATAATAGAAATGACGATCCGTATAGTAATAAAGGATAGAATAGAAATGGATATCCGAATAGTAATAAAGGATAGAATGGAAATGGAGATCCGAATAGTAATAGAGGATAGAATAAAAATGTCGATCCGTATAGTAATAAAGGATAGAATAGAAATGTTGATCCGTACAGTAATAGAGGATGGAATAGAAATGGAGATCCGAATATTCATAGAGGATAGAATAAGAATGTCGATCCGTATAGTAATAAAGGATAGAATAGAAATGGTGATCCGAATAGTAATAGAGAATAGACTAGAAATAGTGATCCCTACATTAATAGACAATAGAATAGAAATGGAGATCCGTATAGTAATAGAGTATATAGAAATGGCGATCCGTATAGTAATAGAAGATAGAATAGAAATGGCGATCCGTATAGTAATAAAGGATAGAATAGAAATGGAGATCCGAATAGTAATAGAGAATAGACTAGAAATAGTGATCCATATATTAATAGAGGATAGAATAGAAATGGAGATCCGAATAGTAATAGAGGATAGAATAGAAATGGTGATCCGAATAGTAATAGGGGATAGAATAAATATGTCGATCCTTATAGTAATAAAGAATAGAATAGAAATGGTGATCCGTATAGTAATAGAAGGTAGAATAGAAATGGTGATCCGTATAGTAATAGAGTATATAGAAATGGCGATCCGTATAGTAATAGAAGATAGAATAGAAATGGCGATCCGTATAGTAATAAAGGATAGAATAGAAATGGAGATCCGAATAGTAATAGAGGAGAGAATAGAAATGGTGATCCGAATAGTAATAGAGGATAGAATAAATATGTCGATCCTTATAGTAATAAAGAATAGAATAGAAATGGTGATCCGTATAGTAATAGAGGATAGATTAGAAATGGTGATCCGTATAGTAATAGAAGGTAGAATAGAAATGGTGATCCGTATAGTAATAGAGTATATAGAAATGGCGATCCGTATAGTAATAGAAGATAGAATAGAAATGTCGATCCGTATAGTAATAAAGGATAGAATAGAAATGGAGATCCGAATAGTAATAGAGGATAGAATAGAAATGGTGATCCGAATAGTAATAGAGGATAGATTAGAAATAGTGATCCATATATTAATAGAGGATAGAATAGAAATGGAGATCCGAATAGTAATAGAGGATAGAATAGAAATGGTGATCCGAATAGTAATAGAGGATAGAATAAATATGTCGATCCTTATAGTAATAAAGAATAGAATAGAAATGGTGATCCGAATAGTAATAGAGAATAGACTAGAAATAGTGATCCCTACATTAATAGACAATAGAATAGAAATGGAGATCCGTATAGTAATAGAAGATAGAATAGAAATGGCGATCCGTATAGTAATAAAGGATAGAATAGAAATGGTGATCCGAATAGTAATAGAGAATAGACTAGAAATAGTGATCCCTACATTAATAGACAATAGAATAGAAATGGAGATCCGTATAGTAATAGAAGATAGAATAGAAATGGCGATCCGTATAGTAATAAAGGATAGAATAGAAATGGTGATCCGAATAGTAATAGAGAATAGACTAGAAATAGTGATCCCTACATTAATAGACAATAGAATAGAAATGGAGATCCGTATAGTAATAGAAGATAGAATAGAAATGGCGATCCGTATAGTAATAAAGGATAGAATAGAAATGGTGATCCGAATAGTAATAAAAAATAGACTAGAAATAGTGATCCCTACATTAATAGACAATAGAATAGAAATGGAGATCCGTATAGTAATAGAAGATAGAATAGAAATGGCGATCCGTATAGTAATAAAGGATAGAATAGAAATGGTGATCCGAATAGTAATAGAGAATAGACTAGAAATAGTGATCCCTACATTAATAGACAATAGAATAGAAATGGAGATCCGTATAGTAATAGAGTATATAGAAATGGCGATCCGTATAGTAATAGAAGATAGAATAGAAATGGCGATCCGTATAGTAATAAAGGATAGAATAGAAATGGAGATCCGAATAGTAATAGAGGATAGAATAGAAATTGTGATCCGAATAGTAATAGAGGATAGAATAAATATGTCGATCCTTATAGTAATAAAGAATAGAATAGAAATGGTGATCCGAATAGTAATAGAGAATAGACTAGAAATAGTGATCCATATATTAATAGAGGATAGAATAGAAATGGAGATCCGAATAGTAATAGAGGATAGAATAGAAAATAAATATGTCGGTGATCCGAATAGTAATAGAGAATAGATAGATCCGAATAGTAATAGAAATGGAGATCCGTATAGTAATAGAAGATAGAATAGAAATGGCGATCCGTATAGTAATAAAGGATAGAATAGAAATAGTGATCCGAATAGTAATAGAGAATAGACTAGAAATAGTGATCCCTACATTAATAGACAATAGAATATAAATGGCGATCCGTATAGTAATAGAAGATAGAATAGAAATGGCGATCCGTATAGTAATAAAGGATAGAATAGAAATGGAGATCCGAATAGTAATAGAGAATAGACTAGAAATAGTGATCCATATATTAATAGAGGATAGACTAGAAATAGTGATCCCTACATTAATAGACAATAGAATAGAAATGGAGATCCGTATAGTAATAGAAGATAGAATAGAAATGGCGATCCGTATAGTAATAAAGGATAGAATAGAAATGGTGATCCGTATAGTAATAGAGGATAGAATGGAAATGGAGATCCGAATATTAATAGAGGATATAATAAAAATGTCGATCCGTATAGTAATAAAGGATAAAATAGAAATGGTGATCCGTATAGTAATAAAGGATAAAATAGAAATGGTGATCCGTATAGTAATAGAGGATAAAATAAAAATGGTGATCCGTATAGTAATAAAGGATAAAATAGAAATGGTGATCCGTATAGTAATAGAGGATAGAATAAAAATGTCGATCCGTATAGTAATAGAGGATAGAATAGAAATGGAGATCCGTATAGTAATAGAGGATAGAATAAAAATGTCGATCCGTATAGTAATAGAAGATAGAATAAAAATGTCGATCCGTATAGTAATAGAGGATAGAACAGAAATGTCGATCCGTATAGTAATAGAGGATAGAATAAAAATGTCGATCCGTATAGTAATAGAAGATAGAATAGAAATGGAGATCCGTATAGTAATAAAGGATAGAATAGAAATGGTGATCCGTCTAGTAATAGAGGATAGAATAGAAATGGTAATCCGTATAGTAATAGAGGATAGAACAGAAATGGAGATCCGTATAGTAATAGAGGATAGAATAAAAATGTCGATCCGTATTGTAATAAAGGATAGAATAGAAATGGTGATCCGAATAGTAATAGAGGATAAAATAAAAATAGCGATCGTTATTCGTCACGATACTTTCTACTTTGCTCTATGGCCACGTGATCCACTAAATTCTATAGTGGGATCGCCTGTGTTTACTCTTTGGAGATCTATGTTCAAACTCAAGTGTCGGTAGCGACACTTTATTCCTTTATAACAAAATTAGTGCCGAATATTTGCTCACAGGGAAACTGCTAACATTTCTATTACAATTAGAGTTGGGAACAAATATTAAACTTTGATTCCAGCCAAATGTCCAGGGAGTGAAGAAAAGTATAACACATGTAGAACTGTGTTCTCATTTAATGCATGAATATTTCCTTGTAACGCTAATATTGGAATTACTATTATTGTTGTTGTTGTTAATTCCGCCATCTTTTTATTTTACTTACAAATGAAGTCATTTATGCAATTCAGTTGCTAATGGAGACTTTTCAGAAAGAAAATATTAATTGCAATAATTTCATTGTCTACGTTTTTCCTCTGAAGAACATGCTTTGAATTCTACTTCGTTTCTCTCCTGTCGCAATTCGTTACTTATTAGAATTCGCCGATTAGTTTGGGAGACAAAACGATTTTCTCTGTCTTCGCTGCATTGTTTACCCAGACATTACAGATGAAGATTAATGCGTATGTTTTATGGCACCTATTCTTGCTCATCTTTCTCTATCATAAGTCACAGTTGATACGTTTGAATTAACTAATTTCTATTTCGAATTTCTCCTCAGTAACATGATGTCACTAAACCTACTTTTCATTTTCTTCGAGACCAGGCTCCACGACTCTGGAGTGAATATTGGTTTCAACTAATATCAAAGCTCTCCAATTGCACGAGGAATCGGTCAACACCATTTTCCTCTGTTTTAATCAATGTTCTCTGGGACAGTTTCTTCTTTTTCTTTTATTTTTTAGTCGATAGCACCCCATGTAAGGCAGTAAAGCCACTAAGACACAAGGGGTTACAGGGTGAGGAAGAATTAGAAACAGAAACATTAATAATGAGGCGGAGGAGGAAAAAGTAATCAGAAGGACAGTAGATAGCGATTGATATTGCATTTAAATTTGTGCAGATTAAAGTTGACTGGAAAGCATGGAACCGGAAGTGATTTCCACAAGCGGAAGTGCCAGAAAAGAAACAGCACAAAATTTACGTTTACATTTAACCACTTCAACTGTAAATTGATGAGAATTCAATGCCAGTCTAGTACTGCGCTTAAATTCAAAAAGCCTATGTACCATAGCGAAGAGCTCATCCAAACAATACCCATGAAAGTATTGATGGAAAAAACACAAAGAGGCAACTTTACGGCGGTGGGAAAGTGACTGATGCCGAGCTGCCAGATCAGGACCAATAATATTACTGACTCTTCTTTGGATTTTATCAAGGAACTCAAGGTAAACAGAAAGGGCACCAGACCATATGTGGCAGCAATATTCTAAACAGGGACGAATGGTAGACATAAACATGTAAGCTATATCTAGCCAGCTCTTCTGCAAATTGATGAAATCTCGACGCCAGTTTATTAACGTGCTTAAATTCATAAAGTCTACGGTGCGATTACGGCTCTCTACAATTTCCTGTCCTTTCTAGGTTTTATGCTAAAGCAATAAAACTTAGTACAATTTGTTTAAATCACTCACATGAAAATGGACAGCAGTGAAACTTCTGATCTAATAAAGTAGTTGTATAATATTTGAATTTGTCTTAAACATACACACTTACAAGAAGAACAGATCTTATTCTGTCCATATCTATCTATCTATCTATCTATCTATCTGTCTGTCTGTCTGTCTGTCACAGTCTGTTCATTTCTATCTATCTATCTATCTATCTATCTATCTATCTATCTATCTGTCTGTCTGTCTGCCTGTCTGTCTGTCACAGTCTGTTCATTTCTATCTATCTATCTATCCATCTATCTATATATATATATATATATATATATATATATATATATATATATGGTGGAGTGAACGGGTCACCATTCCTAGAGCAACGTCTGCTATGTTAATCTCATTGACTTATTCATGAATGCCATGCTTTCCCTTCGAACATGTAGCCTTCAATATCATGTCTCCCAACCAAAATAATTAGATTTCCCAAAGGTACGACGTATTGATTTTCATGCGAAAGAAATAAAAAAAAGAAAAGAATGTCATCGAAAATACATCATTCTATCAGACACCCCCATCACAGTATATAAAATATGCCTACCTATCAGCGAAATGTCGCATTATTAAATAGGTTGTAAGGATACAGAGGGCGATTATCTCCCTTTGGTGTAGATAAGTCACGAGGGTCACATGACGGTCACTCAATCGGTACAGCGACGAACGCGCCAGTCAAATTCAGTTACTTTACAGAGGCCACCAGTTGATGTTGCTTTCATTTAGCCTACGTCAAGGGGTTAAATCTGCTTCCCCGAGCATCTTACAAGCACATAGTGAATCCGGCCCGTTTGAACCTGAAATCCTAAACATGGCTTCTCCAGACTCAGGAGTATCTCCATATTATACGTAAAGCAGATCCTTTTTGTTTATCCTTACACTTATCCTTATTATCTGCTTTGCTGTGTAGATATATGTTATTTATTATTCTCCGTGTTGGACACTTGTATATATGTAGATATAGTTTTGTATATGCCTTAGGGATATAAAAGTGTCTCTGAGAACAAAGCATTTTTGACATTCCTTTCCTTTTATTCATTCAGTGCTTGAACTACGGTGTTATTATATCACGGATATAATATTGCCCATAATGGGGAAATTACAAATGGGAGAAGAAATTCGTTCTTTCAAGGCTCCCTCCCGTTACTTCGACTGTTTGACGAAAAACAAAATCATTACATCGTCTGTATGCGTCGTTCCTCTTCTTGGAGGTTTAGGATTAAGTATAATAAATCACTAAGAGACTATTTTTGTTTAGTACGTTCCCTTAACTCTGATTACAGTCTTACTACTGACTGGCTCAGTTTGAAGTGTAACTTTCATAGATAGATAAGATGGTTGTTGAAGTACATTGCTGGATGATAGGAAGAAAACTGCAGATAGTTTGGCTTCCGAAAATTGAAAAGCGGAACGACCGGAAGCCATTTTTCAACGAGAGAATTCCCTGGAACTCACTGAAAAGACAACCAGAAAGCGGTTATAGAAGAGAAAACACCAGCTCATATATTGGCCTGGTCAGACTCTAGACTTGAACCTTGCAGAATATTCAGTCTCAGTTCAGATGCTCTTTTAAGCCATCAACTATGAGTGGAACAGCGTTGATTGTCCTTTGTTATCAAAAGCTATCAGCAAGTTTAACCATAAAGCTGAGACATTTAAAAGAGAAAAGCTATTGCACACGAGATATGAGTATACTTCTTGATTATTCTTGATTATTTCCTGACTAGTAATTTATTGTTAAAATAATTGTAAACTCATAACGTTTCTATTCTTGTCTTCATTAATTTTTCCATGTCCGGAGACGTTACGAGCGTAAATAAATGGCAATAGTAAAAATAGGAGCTTCCATACTAAAGACATTCGACATTCATTGACTAACTAGCGTTAGTGTGGCGAAAAATTCATAAAATCTTTCTCGTGATAGTTTTTTTTTGTTTTTTTGTTTTCTCAAGTCCACTAACTGTTATTGCTCTTTGTAGTACTGACAGGATGTTCTTTTCAGACCTTTTGTATTTAGTAGTGTGAAAATTTAACAGGTTTGCTTATCTCATTACTCGTTACACGTGCTATCCATTTTAGTTGTTTTTGTTGTCTTCATGTAATAGGGTATTTGATATTTTGTACAGCTCTTTGTGAATTTGTAACACCAGTTTATAGAGTCTTAAAACCATTTTTTCCAGGAAATTAGTTTTTCAAATCCACTAACTGTTATTGCTCTTTTTAGTACTGACAGACATACCCAAGAGACATTAAGAACTTTGTTTCCCTGCAGTTAATATAGAAAAAGAAGAGAATAAACAGATTGCAGTAGAAACCCAAGTTTTTTGTGCATTTCTTAGTTTATCCAATGTTAACATGCACAATTGCACAGACCTAAAATACACACAAATACGCAACCATCTAAATAGAGAGTACTCATTGCAATTATGAACACCTATGTTATGAATATAGCCATTCCTCATATCAGTACACTTGACTCTTCAGTGACAAAAAAGAACAAGAGCTATGTTTTCTGGGTAGATTAGGTTGGAATAGACTATGGAATGTTTAAATTATTTCTACCAGTTGGGGCTCTAATTTCGCTGTCGTCGTACACCTAATAAGGTTTGAAATGATTCAATGCTTGAACTTTCCCCAGGATCGATACGATTTCCCTATCAGATCAACGTTCAATGGATTCAAAGCTTGGAAGATGATTTCTAACAGATGAGAAAAGGGAGTCTCTATTGATGTGGTCATATGATACTGCCAAACCAACATAACAGGAGAACGGGCGAATCAGTAGATCGGGGAAATAGTTTGAAATTGTTTCTATGTATTTGTCAAGTTTGGCTAGTATGATCCGTGATTTTTGATTGGACAGTCATCATATTCATGGCGATTCTTGAGTGAATAAGCGAAAACTATTTCAAATTATATACATATTTCCCGAATTAATAATGCGGATTTGTATTATATGAACGTGCCTATTATAAGAAAGAATGAATGAATCAATCACACTTCAGAAGATAATTGCTTCTATGTGCTTGGTAGTTCGGTGAAGCCTCGTAACGATTATTCAAGCCGAAGTGGGGCAGACATGTGTATTTATTATTGAATTAAAATTTTTTTGCCGATGTCTCAATATCATGAAATGAACAAAATGAAACCTAATGTAAACAGATAATTTAGATTTATGAATTATTTGAGAGATGGTAATGTTGGATATCGCGCCAAGCTGGGGTTACAAGTAGTACGACACAAGAACATGGGCAAGATTAATCAATCATGATCGAACCTAAACCAATAGAAATAAACTTTGAAACGCACTCGCTAACTAATATATATATATATATATATATATATATATATATATGAAAATTTCTCAGAGTTAACTTGTAGAAAAGACAATATTTATAAATATAAATGACAATAGGAAAACTGCACTAGTCATACATAGAAATAAATTCAACCACAATTTTGATTTTAAAAATCTACACTCATAAAAAAAAGAAAATAACTCACTCAGAAGGAAAATTCTAGAGAGTGCCACCATAGAATATTACCCAAATATTAATCTACGCCCAGGCTTTTTCCCTATTTCACCTTTCTTAAAAAAATTACTGCTCTCACAAACAAACGTACACAACAATATCGTAAAATCAAAAGAAAATGGTTGAATCCGTCAACACAACTATAATGACAATATTCTCCACACGTGACAGTAATTGACGTAATTTTTAGTTAACAGTATGAAAATTGTCCTCTAAATTCTTCCAGTTGCTAAGGACATTTTGTTTTTGTTATTATTAGTTACTTTGTTTAAATAAATTCATTTCTTTTTTTGCTTTGAGAAAGTCCATATTGGACGAAACGCGTCATCAACTACTAGTTTTCCTATTGTCATTTATATTTATAAATTAGTATTATATATATATATGTGTGTGTGTGTGTGTTATTTTAGAATATTACATCGGAAAAATGTCAAAATCGCTACACAATTTTCATTTAGATTTAAAAGCAAAATACAAACTCTTTTTTTCAAAACAAAAAAAAATTATAAGATTTGAGGGCTTTACCCTGATCAACCAATCAAATATGACCTACGTTAAATTTAAACAAAACGAAGGACGAAAAATTAAAAATTATTTTTTATAAATGGGTCATGAGCCGTAGATTGGCAACTAACAGCAGCCAGACGTAAACTTAAAGCAGATAAAATATGGTTACATAAAATATACAAACCAGACAATGGAGTTTCCTAAGAAATAAAGGAGGGTAGGGAGGTAATTTAACAAAATTACAAACAATTTATATGCTTTGTGAATTTCCTACATAAAAATCTTTTTTGTAGTTGATAACTAAATAGCTTCTTTAAGAAACTAGTAAATAATTTAAATATATGGAATTATCTGGTAAATTAATATGCAACTATTAAATAAAGATCCTACAACTAAAATGTTAAGAACACTAACAAATCAATGTAAAATATCAAAAATAGTAACCAAATACCAATATATCTTTACAAGGTGTTATTAATACTACAAGGAAATTAATTCCCTGGTAGTATTAGTATTTAATATATTTCCTGGTTGTGCGTATATATATAACCAGAACCCGACGTTCTGAAATAGATAAGTTAGACGACCAATTTACAGCTACACTGACCGCACACGAGATGTCTCCCCCACCCGGCAACCTATGACTCTCTTCGTTTATGTTTGCAATTTCACCCCCCCCCACTGACACGCTTTTACACTGATTCATAGTTTAAATTTGATTTAATTTTCATAAGTTTCGCACAGCAGAGATCAGGGTTTTGCTAATAGTATGATCTTCACCAGAATTTACACCGTACACAAAAAAAACATCTGTCGGTGACTAATCCCGCATTTCTCTAGTTTTTTTTTTTTTGGGGGGGGTATTTGTTTTTATTTGTTTTTTTTCGCGCCGTTAATGAAGGACACAGGCGTGACCGAAAATTCCAGACTTGAAACCTTTATTTCCGTGCTTCATTTCTGTCATATGGTTAATAATTAATATTTAATACATGTTTTACGTACTAATTATATTGGTACACTTTGGTTTTCACTTGTTTTATTACTCAACCTATCAATCTATTTCATATATATATATATATATATATATATATATATATATATATATATATATAGAAAGAGGATGTAGTGGTTCCAACGAGGGAAAAGTAAGGATATTAAAAGAAGAGCAATTCAAGA